TCCTGGATTATCTGAGTGGGTCCAATATGATCACAAAGGTCCTTATAAGTACAAGAGGGTGTCAGGAGAGTCAGAGAAGATGTGCGGACAGAAGCAGAGGTCAGAGTCCTGCAGTGGGATCCTGGAGACTACAATGCAGGAAATGCAGGCAGCTGGAAAAATCAGAAATGGATTCTCTCCTAGAGATTCCAGAAAGGACACAGCCCTGCTAACACCTTGATTTTTTACTTTTCCTTTGACTACAAGATGCAATCCTTTAGTCCCTGTTATTTCCTGTATATTGGAAGTTAGCTCTAAAGTCTCGATTAGATACTTGTTAAAGATTTTTTGTGAAAATACTTTATAGGTGGTGAATAGGAGGCATATATTGCCTTGTTGTCCCACTATTTGTGATACTAATATTGATCACTGAGGCAAGGTAGACTTTGCTCCCTTCACCTTACTTCACCCAATGAGAACCATTTTGGACTACTGACTTCCAAAATTGTAAGATAATACATTTGTTTCTGTGGCAATTTGTTACAGCAGCAATAGGAAACTAATAAAAGGGGAGGCTGTTAAATGGAGTTAACATGTTTTAAAGTTTTTGCATTATCCAGGCAGAGGTAAAAGCTCTAATTTAAGGTAGACTGTAATATAATCAAGGAGGCATGTTGTAATTTCTAGGGTACTAAAAGAATAATTTTTAAACACTATAACAAGCTATTACATGAGAAAAAGGAAATAAAGAAAAATATTTGATTAATACAAAAGAAAGCAAGAAAGGAGAAAAAAGGCTCAAAGAACACTTGGGACAAATAGAAAACAGCAAGATGATAGATATAAACTCAGAAATGTCAGTAATTTCATTAAATGTAAATGGACCAAATATTACATTTCAGAGCAGAGCTTGTGAGAAGGATTTTAAAAAAAGCAACTAAATGTCATTCACAGAAATAGCATGCAACTGTATGCTATTCATAGAAAGGTTGAAAATAAATGGATGAAAAAATATTTTATGCAAGTACTATCCAAAAGATAATTGGTGTGGCTGTGCTATTGTCAGACAAAGTGTACTTTTAAGTCAAGACGTATTACTGCAGAGAAGGAGAACACTTTATAATGATAAAAAGATTAATTCAACAGATAGATATAATATTAATAACTTTCTAATAGCATAGCCTAAAAATATATGAAACAAAAATTGGCAGAACTAAAAGGGGAAATAGGTCCAAAATCATAGTTGGAAATTTTAACATACCTCTTTCAGTAACTGATGTGACAACCTTCCCACAAGGAAAACTTGAGGCCCAAATGGCTTCCCTGGTGAATTCTTCTAGTAAAGAACTAATAACAATCTAACACTGAACTTTTCTAGAAAACTGAAAAATAGTGAATATTTCTCAGCTCTTTTTACGGAATCAGTGTAACATTTATACCAAAACCTGACAAGAACGCTACATGTAAGGAAAATATCTTTCAATAAATGGTAACAAATCAATTCAATGTCCATATGGGGAAAAATGAGACTTGACTCCTATTTCATATTATATACGAAAAGTAGTTCCAGATGGGTCATAGACCTAAATTATGAAAGGTAAAATAATAATGATTCTAGAACAGCACTGTTCAATAGGAATATAATGTGAGCCACACACGTAATTTAAAATTTTATAATAGCCACAATAAAAAATAAAAATAAATGGGAAATTAATTTTAATATATTTTATTTAACGTAATATGTACAAGTTATTGTCATTTCAATATCTAGTCAATATGCAGTTATTGAGATAGTTTACATTCTTTTTTCCTACTAGGTCTTTGAAATCCAGTATTTTTCACTTAACAGCACATCTCATTTTCCACTAGGTACATTTCAGGTGCTCAATAGCCACATTTGCCTAGTGGCTGCTGTATTGGACAGCATAGATATAGAACATTTCTAACATTGCAGAAAGTTCTATTGGACAGTGCTTCTCTTGTCTCACTTTCTGGATTTTTCTGATTATTTCCTCATGTTATCATTTAGCATCATCCTTTATTCCCTGTTATTTCCTGTAAATTGGAAGTTAGCTCTAAAAGCTTTATTAGATACAGGTTAAAAGATTTTTGGTGAGAATACTCCATAGGTGGTGCGTAGGAGGCATACAATGCCTGATTGTTCCACTATTAGTGATACCAGTATCGATCACAGAATTAGGGTAGACTTACTCCTTTGAGTTTTTATCTTGCAGTCAAGGGAAAAGTAAAGAGTATCTGGAAAATATCTCAGAATGTTAGTAGTTTGCCACCATTTTTGGTCTTCTGACTAAGAAGAAATCACTTGCCCACTTTCAGCTTTCTCATCCCACAGCAGAATTCAGAGGTGGTTTGTTTGTCCATCCAGTCAACTGACCATCTGCCCAACAAAAAAATACTTATTGAACAACTGCTTTGAGTGTTTCTCTCTGTCTCCCCACCCAATCTGGTTTTTTCCCCAACTCAGATTCGGAATATTTGAAATAGATGATTTTCATTTAAGAGGGAGAAAAGTAGAGGCACATGTTTATGCAGTAGCCTTATCTGCCACTAGTTGGAGTCCCTATGGAGAAGCAAAAGTGTGATTATCTTTGAGTCTGTGTTTGGCTAAGTATATGTGATTTGGCTCATGCCATTAATCTCTGACTTTTTTTTTTTTTTTAATAATTTTTATTTATTTATTTATTTATTTCCCCCAAAGCCCCAGTAGATAGTTGTATGTCATAGTTGCACATCCTTCTAGTTGCTGTATGTGGACGCGGCCTCAGTATGGCTGGAGAAGTGGTGCGTCGGTGCGCGCCCGGGATCCGAACCCAGGCCGCCAGCAGCAGAGCGCGCGCACTTAACCACTAAGCCACGGGGCCGGCCCTAATCTCTGACTTTTAATTGTATAGTAATAATACTTATTATATAATTATAAGTAACACATATATAGCAATAACTAGTGCTAGGTGCTGTTTGTATATATTTGCCTAGTTAATAATAGGCATAATTTCCTACTTAAATTTTCCTGAGATTTCATGCAGTTTCATTGGTCTTAAATGTATTACAAATTATTTCATTCTTGTGTGGGAGGCATTTATTATAAATGCTTAGGTGGGTTGAGGACAAATATTTGAGTAAGTTAGTTGTAATGATAGAGTTCAGTTCCTCTGATATAACTTTCCAAAATAGGTGTAACAAACAAGTTGTTCAGGGTGCTAGAATAATATGTTCCTAGATTCTAGATATTTCCAACATTATCTTTCTGGTGAATCTACTTTGTTGTAGTAATTATGGCTAGTATTGCTTCATTATTAGTTGGCTATTCATTTTCAGTGATGAAAGCACAACATTTTACCCTTTAGTATACTCTACCCTTTAGAGGTAGTACCTCTTACTATCTTTAGGAAAAAGTTTAGAGAAATATGATTAAATCTGGATGCTAGGTTTCTGAAGAACTGTTGTAAATGAAATTCACATTTCCGTTTTTATATCCACTCTAAAAATAAGCACACAGGGGCCGGCCCCATGGCATAGCGGTTAAGTGCGCACGCTTCTGCTGCTGGCGGCCCGGGTTCGGATCCCGGGTGCGCACTGACGCACTGCTTGTCGGGCCATGTTGTGGCGGCGTCCCATATAAAGTGGAGGAAGATGGGTACAGATGTTAGCCCAGGGCCAGTCTTCCACAGCAAAAAAAAAAAAAAAAAAAGAGGAGGATCAGCTCAGGGCTGATCATCCTCACACACACACACAAAATAAATAAAAAAATAAAAATAAGCACACAATGAGCCAAGAACACTTACCAATGACCAGTTGTTACATCTTATCCTGATCCCTTTGAACTCATTCAAGTTATTGTACTAACCTATTTAAGCTAATCAGTCATAAAATAGAGCTCAAAGCAATAATACGTCACATTTATTTATTTATTTATTTTTAAATGAGAAGGGTATTTCAAGCCTTTATTTTAAATAAATCACCCACACTGACATTTGAAGTACAAGATATGGAAAAGAGTCAGCAATTTGTGTGTGTGTGTGTGTGTGTGTGTGTGTGAGGAAGATTTGCCCTGAGCTAACATCACATGCCAATTTTCCTCTTTTTGCTGAGGAAGACTGGCCATGGGCTAACATCCGTGCCCATCTTCCTCCACTTTATATGGGACGCCGCCACGGCATGGCTTGACAAGCAGTGCGTTGGTGTGCACCCGGGATCTGAACCTGCGAACCCCAGGCCGCCGCAGCGAAGTGTGCGCACTTAACCGCTACGCCACCGGGCCGACCCCAATACTTCACATTTAAAGTATATATTGTAACCAGTTCTTGCCGGAAAATTAGAATATAGGAGAAATTGCGGAGAAAAAATGTAAGAATACATTGTAAATGAAATAAAATAACAACGAAATGACTGATAATGAAGGGTTATGGCTTTCCGTCTATTTCATATTTTAGTTTTGATTCTTCAATTCTTCATTGAAATATATGAGATGTAAAAAAGAAGTGTGTTACCACTTCACACCCATTAGAATAGCTATTACTTTAAAAAAATACAGTAAATAATAACAAGTGTTGGCGAGGATGTAGAGAAATTGGAACCCTTGTGCATTGCTGGTGGGAATGTAAAATGGTGTAGTTGCTCTAGAAAACAGTATGGTGGTTCCTAAAAAAATTTAACATAGAATTACCACATGCAGCAATTCCAATTCTGAGTATATACCCAAAAGAATTGAAAGCAGAGACTTGAACAGATGTTTGCACAACACTGTTCATAGCAGCATTCCTCACAATAGCCCAAAGGTAAAACAACCCAAATGTCTATCAACAGATGAGTGGATAAACAAAATATGGTATATGCATACAGTGCAATATTCTTCAGCCTTAAAAAGGAATGAAATTCTGACATGTGATATAACATGGCAAAACCTTCAAGATTTAATGCTAAGTGAAATAAGCCAGACAAAAATGGACAAATATTGTGTGATTTAACTTATATGAGGGACCTAGAGTAGTCAGATTCATAGAGACAGAAAGTAGAATGGTGGTTACCAGTGGCTGAGGGGAGGGGGAATGGGGAATTATTGTTTAATGGGTACAGTTTCAGTTTAGGAAATGAGCAAGTTCTGGTGATGGTTGTATAACAGTGTGAATGTACTTAATGCCACTAACCTGTACACTTAAAAATGGTTCAAATGGTAAATTTTATGTTATGTGTATTTTATCACAATAAAAAAACTTTAAAAAAGTGTCTGCCTTTCTCAGGAAATAGTAATTTTGCTATAGCCCATAAATATCTTTAGAGAAAGAACAAATGTCATATAAAATTATGTGTGAGGAAAATCATCTCTGACTTCCACTGAGGATTCTGAATGGCAACAACTTAAAAAATAGCAGCGTAACATATTGGACATAGCCATTGTAACAGGCCATTGCATTTCATAGCTTTATAGGATGAACATGGGAAATTCTATGATGGGAAGAAGATTCTTCAAAGTATAGATTTCAGCGATGTCTTTGTTAGGGATGCACATTTTCAATCCTATCTTATTATTCAACTGTTTATAAAAGTTGGCTTATGACAGGTTTTAGCAAAGGCTGAAAATGTAAATTATCTAGGACCCTTTTAAAGCAAAGTGGAATCAGGTATTTTTTTCCTCTTTGTCCTGTGGTATTTTCCAGAGTCTTCTCACAGAAGATGGAAACATGGTAGAAACTCTCCTAACCGTCTAGTGGTTGGTCATTTGAAGAAGGAAACCATAAAAGCTATGTACATGTAGCATATTCATTTTTTAAAAACCTAGAACATATATTCATTCATTCTCCAATATTTATATGTAGGGCCAAGGCTTTTTCTTTGCATATGGGTCCCCTGGAATTCCTCATTTTCTTGCACAAACCATGTCTATATTGCTTCATTCCAGATTTCCAATTTCTAATTTGGTTTCATGAAACTAGAGAACAGAATTCTTTTAGATTTTTATGATTTGCCCTCACTGCCAGTCTCTTAAAGTTGCTTCATGTACAGCTATTTCAGCAGTGTACTGCTCACCTTTATTGAGTGTCTCTAAAGCATTCACCTTTGTTTTATAGAAAGAATAACTCTCTTTTATACTCATATTCTATCAGTTTACATAATATTAAATCACGTGATTATAAGAAGTTCAGTGGGCATAAACAGGCTTGGGAGCAAACACAGCTGAATCTAAGTATGCCAACATACTACTGGTGGGACAAGAAGTACACATAAGCATGCTTTGGGCCTCTGAATATTTTAGTGGTAGAACAGAGACCATCGGTTAATCCATTGGAGGTTGGTTAAGGGAACTTTTGCAGAGTGAAAATTTACTTTTTCTTAATGTATCCTCAACATTTTTCCTGTCTGTAAATGGAGATCTATATCATTGTTTTTAATGGCCACATGGTATTTATTATACATGTATTAGGCTGAGTTCTTCCTTGCAAACAACATACAACAGTTCTGACTCACTTAACCTGACAGAGAATTTATTGGTAGGCTATTAAAATTGCTTATAGAGTCAACAGGAAAGATGGTTAGCCAGGCTTGGAAAATGTGCAGGAACCCAAGTGAGGCTAAAACAGGTCAAGGTCACACCCCAGGAACAGTCTGGTGAAGACCTCTCCAGTGGCACTGGCTTTCTCAGGACTTCTGCCACCGCCACTGCTGGCATCTTGACTTTGCTGCTGCAACTGCCGTGAATTCTCTTTAACTGTTACTTTGTATTTGTGTTTTTTGCCACATGAAATTTTAAAATTTCATATAATTAAATTTTAAAATCTTTTCCTTTATGGTTTCAGCTTTTGGCTTATGCTTAGAAGGGCCTTCCCCACCTCAAGTTTTGTTGTTGCTGTTGTTAATTAATATTCACTTTTATATCTTTGTAGCATTTTCTGTTTTCTTTTTATATTTTAGTCTTTAACTCAGTTGGAATTAATTTTGGTGTAAGATAGGATCTAAAAGTATTCACCTCAAATGGTTAGTTAGCACATTATGCCAACACCGCTTACTGATTTCCCCATTGATTTGAACTGCTGCCCTTATTTTATACTAAATTCTTATATATACACGTTTGTTTCTGGGACTTTCTGTTCTGTTGCAAGGATCTGTCTACTCTGACATTAGTACAAGAATTTTTTTTTTTTTTTTAAAGATTTTATTTATTTTATTTTTTTCCCCCCAAAGCCCCAGTAGATAGTTGTATGTCATAGCTGCACATCCTTCTAGTTGCTGTATGTGGGACTCGGCCTCAGGATGGACGGAGAAGTGGTGCCTCGATGCACGCCCGGGATCAGAACCCGGGCCTCCAGCATCGCAGCGCGCGCACTTAACCACCAAGCCACAGGGCCGGCCCAAGAATTTTTAATAATTAAAACTTTTAAAGACATTTTAATGTCAAGGTAATTAGAATCATTATTTTTTTAGTGGTGGTTTTTATAAAATTAATGACATACTTAAAACGTTTGGTGAGAGTTCTCATTTTCAGCCTCACTAAACTTTTATGGTTTCTTTTATAGTTTACTTGTACTTAATCAGTTATAGCAAATATAGAATAAGTGCTTTTTCAACTTTATATAATGGTTAAATACTGACAGTTGTTTTTAGTTTTCGTAAGTATTAAATGTTTTTTCATCAGTGGTTTGGGGCACTATTTCGTCTTAGAACTAAAATTGTAAGATGGCTTTTTCCTTGTGAAGAAAGCTATAGCATTACAAGCAGTCCATGATTTACCTACAGATTATATCTGACAAGTTTGAATCAGATGATTATTTTGATGAGGGAAAAAAGGCATTCCAACTACCAAAAAAAATCTTCTTAGAACCTAAGATAGACTACTGCACCAAGACCATATTTAACCCATAATATGGTTGAAAAGTAGCTGACACATTTTAATGTCAAATAGTTGAATCCTACTTCCTTCTACTTTCCAGGGCTAAAAATGGCCTTGTTTGAGGCAAGAAAGGTGTCACCCATACTAAAAACATGTTTTTTCCTGTAGTCTATTATTGACATGGCAGCAGATGCGCCTAGTAAGTAACTTGAAGACTATTTGTCAGTTTTTGAGGAACCTGTCTCCACCTGTGTTCATTGCAGGGTACCAGTATTTTTCAAGCATTTTCTCCACCCTACCCCCACCTTTGGCTGGTTTTATTTTATGCTTTTGCAAACATTGCCCTATTAAATTAATCCTTTTGAGGCTATTGTTAGCTCTCAAGTCCAGCATGATTTGGCTATATGAGCGTGGGTAAGTCTGAGTGTTAGCTTCCTTAATTTTAAAAGGAGTCTACTACCCTATTTATATTGCAGGATAGTTGTGAAATTCATGTATATGAAAGTTTTGTCAACTATGCAATGCTACAGGAATCTGAAATATCTCAGTTGTTATCACAGGACAGCTCTTTTGTAGAGAGGCGGTGGTTAGCCCAGGAGTCACAAAAATGGCCAGCAAAGCACGTTGCCTTTTCTTAATTTGAATGTTCTGTTCTTTTTTGATCTTACTAATATATACTCCTAATCTTTTGGGAATGGTCTAATGAAAAGAACAATTTTTGTTTTCAGACATACTCTTGTCTACTCCAGCTGTTCTTCTGGAATCTTAGTCCTCTGCTTATATAATGACAGTTGTCTCATGAAAGAGATTAGGCACTCAGTATTTTGAAAACAGGCTAAGGAATAAGATCATTTTCCTTTTAAAGGCCTACACAATTTAAACAAAAGAAATTCATTATATAAAATAATAGAGAAGCTAATGCTTTCCCCTTTTGTTTTTGATTTAGAGGTGGTAGTAATTTTAAATAAAAACATGGGTAAAAAAATTAAATTGATTTGGAAATATTATATAGATACTCTGAAGACAACACTAGTTCAGGGTTGTTTGCCTAGCTAGAAATCATCAATTTGTTTAACAAAACAGGGGTATTTTTATAGCCCTGGTATAATGGACTGGGTTATTTTGGCTGTGTATATGTTTGAGTTTATCATTGGTCTCACTTACTGAGTTTTAATTTTGGTAACTTTTCTCTTAATTTCTGCACATTCCCTATATTTTTATTTCCCCTTAACATGGACTTTTTTTGGTGAGGAAGATTGGCCCAGAGCTAACATCCGTTGCCGATCTTCCTCGTTTTGCTTGAGGAAAATTGGCCCTGAGCTAACATCTGTGCCAATCAAAACTTCCTCTATTTTGTATATGGGAGGCCACTGCAGCATGGCTTGATGAGTGGTGCATAGGTCCATGCCCAGGACCTGAACTCAAGAACCCCGGGCCGCCAGAGCAGAGCATGTGAACTTAACCACTACGCCACTGGGCTGGCCCCAAAATGGACTTCTAAAAAATCTTTTTTCCTCCATCTTTATTGAGGTATATTTGACAAATAAAAATTGTATATATTTAAGGTGTACAATGTGATTTTTTTAAAATTTTTTATTTTAGTGTTTAATAGGCTCAAAGGGTAGGAAAAAATTACCTTCATTGTTTTGGGTTTTTTTGCAAATTTGATCTTTTTTTTAATTTAATTTTTTATTGAGGTATAATTGACATATAATGTTATATTAGTTTCAGGTGTACAACATGATTCGATATTTGTATACACTGCGAAATGATCACCACAATAAGTCTAGTTAAGGTCCGTGACCATACAAAGTTACAAAAAGATTTTTTTTTTCTTGTGATGAGAACTTTTAAGATTTACTCTTTTAAAAACTTTCAAATATGTAATACAATATTATTAACAGTATTCATCATGCTGTACATTACATCCCCATGACTTATTTATTTTATAACTGGAAGTTTGTACCTCTTGACCCTTTTTACCCATTTCGCCTAACCCAACCCACCTCCCCTCTGGAAACCACCAATCTGTTCTCTGAATCTGTGAGTTTCGTTTTGTTTTGTTTTTTAGATTCCACATATAAGTGAAGTCATATGGTATTTGTCTTTCTCTGTTTGACTTATTTCACTTAGCATAATACCCTCAAAGGCCATCTATGTTGTCGCAAGTGGCAAGATTTCATTTTTTTTAATGGCTGAGTAGTATTCCATTGTATATATACACCACATCTTCTTTAGCCATTCATCCATCAATGGACACTTAGGTTGTTTCTGTATCTTCGCTATTGCAAATAATGCTGCAATGAACATAGCAGTGCATATATCTTTTCAAATTAGTGTCTTCATTTTCATCAGATAAATACCCAGAAGTGGAATTGCTAGATCATATGATAGTTCTATTTTTAATTTTTTGAGGAACCTCCATACTGTTTTCCATTGTAGCTACACCAATTTGTATTCCCATCAATAATGCATGAGTATTCCCTTTTATCCACATCCTTGCCAACACCTGTTATTTCTTGTCTTTTTGATAATAGCCATTCTAACAAGTGTGAGGTGATATCTCATTGTGGTTTTGATTTGCATTTCCCTGATGATTAGTGATGTTGAGTATCTTTTCATGTGCCTGTTGGCCATCTGTATGTCTTCTCTGGAAAAGTGTCTATTCAGGTCCTCTGCCCATTTTTTTTTTAATAATTTTATTTATCTATTTTTTCCCCTAAAGCCCCAGTAGATAGTTGTATGTCATAGCTGCACATCCTTCTAGTTGTTGTATGTGGGACACAGCCTCAGCATGGCCGGAGAAGTGGTGCGTCCGTGCGCGCCCGGGATCCGAACCGCGGGCCGCCAGCAGTAGAGCATGCACACTTAACCGCTAAGCCACCGGGCCGGCCCTGTGCCCATTTTTTAATGAGATTGTTTATTTTTTTACTGTTGAGTAGTATGAGTTCTTTATATGTTTTGGATATTAACCCCTTATTGTATTCATGATTGGCAGATATTTTCTCCCATTCAGTAGGTTGCCTTTTCATTTCGTTGATGGTTTCCTTTGCTGTGCAGAAGCTTTTTAGTTTGATGTTTGTTTTTGCTTTTGTTACCTTTGCTTTTGGAGTCAGATCCAAAAAAATCATCGCCAAGACCCACGTCAGGGAGCTTACTGCCTATGTTTTTCTTCTAGGAGTTTTATGGTTTCAGATCTTACATTCAAATCTTTAATCCATTTTGAATTAATTTTTGTGTATGGAGTAAGATAGTAGTCTAATTTCATTCTTTGCCTGTGGCTGCCTAGTTTTCCCAGCACCATTTATTGAAGAGACTGTTCTTTCCCCATTGTATATTCTTGCCTCCTTTTTCGTAAACTAATTGATTATATATGTAGTTTATTTCTGGTCTCTCTATTCTGTTCATTGATCTATGTGTCTGTTTTCATGCCAATTCCATACTGTTTTTGATTACTATAGCTTTGTAATATAGTTTGAAATTAGGGAGTGTGATGCCTCCAGCTTTGTTCTTCTTTCTCAACATTGCTTTGGCCATTCGGGATCTTTTGTGGTTCCATACAAATCTTAGGATTGTTTGTTCTGTTTCTGTGAAAAATACCATTGGAATTTTGATACAGATTGCATTGAATCTGTAGATTGCTTTGGGTAATGAGACATTTTAACAATATTAATTCTTCCAATCCATGAGCACAGTATATCTTTCCATTTATTTGTGTCTTCAATTTCTTTCAATAGTGTCTTATAGTTTTCAATGCATAGGTCTTTCACCTCCTTGGTTAAACTTATTCCTAGATATTTTATTATTTTTGATTGTAATGGGATTGTTTTCTTAGTTTCTTTTTCTGATAGTTTGCTGTTAGTGTATAGAAACACAACAGAGTTTTACATATTGATTTTGTACCCTGCAACTTTACCGAATTCGTTTATTAGTTCTAACAGTTTTTTGGTGGGGTCTTTAGAGTTTTCTATATGTAAAATCATGTCATCCATAAAAAGTGATTGTTTTACTTCTTCCTTTCCAATTTGGGTGCCTTTTATTTTATTTTATTATTTTTTATTGCCTAATTGCCCTGGCTAGGACTTCCAACACTATGTTGAATAAAAGTGGCAAGAGTGAGCATCCTTGTCTTGTTCCTGATCTTAGAGGAAAAGTTTTCAGCTTTTCACCATTGAGTATGATGTTAGCTGTGGGCTTGTCATAGATGGCCTTTATTATGTTGAGGTAGGTTCCCTCTATACCCACTTTGTTGAGAGTTTTTATCATAAATGGATGTTGAATTTTCTCAAATGCCTTTCTGCATCTATTGAGATGATCATATGATTTTTATTCTTCATTTTGTTAATTTGGTATATCACTACAACATGATGTTTTGATAAACATATACATTGTGAAATGACTACCACAATCAAGCTAATTAACATATCCATCACCTCACATAGTTACCTTTATTTTGTTGAGAACAATTAATATCTCTCTTAGCAAATTTCAAGTAAACATATAGTATTATTAACTATAGTCACCATGCTGTACATTAGATCTGCAGAACTTATTCGTCCTGCATAACTGAAACTTTTTACCCTTTGACCAACATTTCCCCATTTCCCCCACCCCCCCGGCCTCTGGTAACCACCATTCTAGTCTCTGCTTCTGAGAGTTTGGCTTTTTTAGAGTCCACGTATAAGTGAGATCATGCAGTTTTTGTCTTTCTGTGTTTGGCTTATTTCACTTAGCATAATGTCCTCCAGGTTCATTCATTTGTTTTCCTTTTAAAAATTCTTATAGTGAAATAATTTAGGCCTACACAGAGTATAGAGAACCTATAACATAACATGTGTATCCACTACTTAGCCTAAGAAGTTAAACACTACATATATAGTTGAAGTTTACCCTTGTGCTCCAATTGCATCCCTTCCTCCCTCCCCAAACTCCTGAATTTGCAGTTCATCATTCTCATGCACATTTTTATATTTTGACTAAGACTACTATGTATGTGTGCATACAAAAACAATATATGGTATTGTTTTATGTTTTTAAAGCTTTGTATTCTTCTGAAACTTTTTTATTTCCTCAACTATGTTTATGAGGTTTATCCATATTGCTACTTGTAGCTCTAGTTCAGGGTTTCTCAGCCTCTGTTCTATTGACATTTGGGGCCAGAAAATTCTTTGTTGTGAGGGGCTTTATTGTGCATTATAGGATGTTTAGCAGTATCCCTGGCTTCTACCCACTAGATGCCAGTTGCACTTCCCTCTACCCCCTGGTTGTGATAACCAAAAATGTCTCCAGACATTGCCGAACATCCCTGTGGTGGTAAAATCTCCCCTCCTCCCGGTGAGAACCACTATTTTAGTTCATTCATTTTAACTGCTGTATCATGCTCCACTGTGTATATACCACCACCTATTTTTCCATTTTCTGGTTGATAGACATTTATGTTATTTCCAAAGTTTTAACTGTTAGGAACACTGTTGCAATGAACATTGTTGTTCATGTTTCCTTGTGTACATGTGTGTCTTTCTCTAGGGTAATATGCCTATGAGTAAAAATGTTGAGTTCTAGTATATGTATATCTTCAACTCTACCAGATATTGCCAAGTGGGTTCCATAATGGTTATACTAATTTGTACTCTTACCAGCTGAATAAGAGAGATCCTGTTGCTCCACATCCTTACCAACACGTGGTATTGTCATATTTTGAAATTTTTGTCTACGTGATGGGTGTAAATTATATTCATTGTAGTTTTAATTTGTGGGTTTTTTTTTTGATTACCATAGTGATCAAAACTTATCCAGGTAGAACTGTCTCCAAAAAAAGAATTAAATTTTACTGTATAATTTATTAAGAATCCAGAACCTTTTCCAAATTATGAGGACTAATTATTTTAGAGAGATTTTAAAATAATGTTTGAGCTTCTGTGATCAGCTTTAGGAAAGTGGTTTTGAGCAATCAGACTTCATATGTGTCATGTTTGTACTCAACCTCTGCAGTTTCTGTTTCCAAACCAGAGGTGATGATCTAGTGATAATACTGTTCTTCCTCTTAGAAAATGTTATTAGCGATGGTGATTACCATCTGTGTTTAGGGAGTGGCTCACAATACTTTAATAACTAGAAATTATTTCCCTCAGTGTTGTTGGATGCTCTTGTTCTCAGAGTCACCTCATTACTAATAGCTGCATGCCAGATGTTTTTTTGATATTGTGATCTCCCAGAAGCCTACATTTTTTTCCACACCATATGAAATTGTTTATGCTCTTACTCTGTTTTCTGAGTCATTTTGCTAAATGCAATGGTAGGTTACAAAAGATGTTTCTGACTTTGTACCCGTCTTTGAGACAGGTACAAATATGTACCTGTCTCATAACATATATTCTAAAATCAATTAGAGTGTGTGTATATATACATATATATTATATATATATATATATATATATATATATATATATATATATGAGTAGTACCAGAGAGATGGAATTCCTCTGAGGTTTTGCATGTAATGTCCAATCTAAGTAGAGTTTTGAAGGAAAAAAACAGGTGAATTAAGAAGGCAGAAGGAAGTATATATTATCTGTAGATGATTTGACATGCTTAAATTAGGATGTAGTGGGAAAAGTGGCTGTATTAATGTAATTTTCATTCGTGCTCAGAAATTCTTTCCTCCCCAATACATACTTCCAGGGTGAATTATCCAGTTACTTAAAAGTGCTTCTCTACTTAACTAGTCTCTCTCAGTTCCTCAGTAAGCCTGAGAGAGATGTTCCAGTACTTTGGTCTGGGCCATACCCCATAATGAAACTATTTCAATTTTACATTCCTAACTAACTGGGTAAACTAGCTTTCATCTGCTGAGTGTATTGCATTGTATGCTGAGTGTAGTGTATTGTAGTGTATTCCAAAAGTTTGTTACCAATTCTGTTATTTGAACTTAACATATTCCCATAAAACAATTTAGTCAATTTTGCAAGTGTACCTAGATCAGCCCTTAAAAGCCCCACCTGGCCCATTACATATCTGAGGTATACAGTACTAAATCTGAGTGTTCTGACCTCGAGGCAGGCAGTCATGTGCTACCAGAGGAAAGAGGAAGAATCTTTTGAGGCACAGCTCTCATAGGCAAAATTTTGATAGGATCTGTTTATTTTAGACATTATTCTACTTCGCTTTTCATACCCGTTACTGCTTCCCAGTGACCCTCTCCCTAGCCCCTAATGCCTTCATGCTTGCCTTAAGTACTCCACCTTAGACTCTTCACCTGGGCCGATGAGTTCCCTTCATCTCAAGTATCCTTTACTCACAATTACTTGCCTTTCCTGTCCCATCTGGGCTTCTTTTCTCTCGTAGTAACTGATCTTATGTAGGTATTAGGAGGTATAATTCTAGCTATCATCCCCTTAAACTATCAAAGAGGAGTTTGTATTTTAAAAAAAGGATACAATGTCTGTTAAGACGACTGACCTAGGTTCTTCAGAAAGTCACTTCATAGGGAAAAAGAGATATGGGGGAGGGGCTGTTCTGGATTAAACAAGACGAAAGAGAGACAACCAAATGCAGTGTGTGAACCTTGTCTGGATCCTAATTTGGAAAAAATAAAAACTGTAAAGGATATTCTTGGGACATTTGGGAAAATTTAAATAGAGAATGTGTATTAGATGATGTACAATCATTAATTTTCTTAGCTGTGATAAAATTATTGTGGTTATACATGAGTCCTTACTCTTTGGAAATACATGCTGAAGTATTATGATTTGTAAAACTTATGTTCAAATAGTTTAGAAAAAACAGAGCAAATATAACAAAATGTTAACAATTGTTGAATTCATGCAGAGGATATACAGATAGATGTTCACTGTACTATTTCAGCTTTTATGTGTGGTTGAAATTTTCCATAATAAAAATTTGGAAAAAATGGAAGATTTGCATTAATATAATAATCTCTGTGAAATTTCATGCAATGGAAAATTCAGGCAGTATGGAGAATTTTTTTTGAGCTGGAGTAGCTAGTTCTAGCTCCTCTAAACTAATTCAGTTTTACTGTTTCTTCTCTTATTCTCCTTATCATTCATTCAGAGATTCAGATTTTGTCTTATTGGCAACAGCTGCTCTGGTTTGAGGAAGGAAGATGAAGTTTCTCAGGGCAGTGA